CAGTAACTGACTTTCCGGTGATGGTTATAGGAGGACCGATGATAGAATTGTTTTGAAAATTTGGATTTTTGTATACAGACACCTGCTCTATCTATCTAAAATATTATCAGCGTTACAGTGTTGCCGGATCATTTGAAAATGGTTAGCATCTTTGTTATTTTAAATGAAACACCCAGTATATTATTACATTTTTGGAAACTACTTTCATATCTTATAATTTTTCTATTATACTAACCTATACCTACAGTATTGGCGATAAGTGGATGAGCTTTGTTAAAATAATGGGTTTTTCCTAATATGTTTAAAATTAAAATTTGAGCTATATTTACTTGAAGTCTAGTGTCAGTGCTATAAAAATAAATAGTATTGTTTTTTTAAAATGTGCTTTAATAAGGTAGCAAAAAATTTAAATTGAAAAAACTATTGGACAAAAGTAGATGAACAAAATATATATTTAATAAAAAAAATCTTATGTTAACAAAAACTGAAAAATTAACTTATAATTTACTAGTACTTAGTGTAATAACCCTTATTCTCTTAATTACTTTCAGACATCGCTTAGGCATAGATCCCAGAAGATTTTCAATTATTGAAAAATCGATATTTTTCCAAGACTCTTCCAAAGCTGCAAATAATTCTTGCTTATTTTTGTAGAATTTGGTCCTAATGTGTTGATCCAACATTTCCCATAAATTTTCTATTGGATTCAGGTCTGGGGATTGCGATGGCCATTTGAGAACAGTCACCATTTCATCTTCCAAAAACCTTTTAACCAATTGTGAGGCATGTTTCGGGTCGTTATCATGTTGGAAGTAGTGTACAACTGGCATTTTTTCCTCCAAATAAGGCACTAAAAGGTTTTGTAAAATGTCTCTGTAGCCAAACCGATCCATTATGCCCTCAATTTTATGGAGAGGCCCCATCCCATACCCAGAAAAACAGCCCCATACCATGATTGAGCCCCCACCCTGTTTTACAGTGGGTCGCGTGTACTTTGGTAGCAAGCGTGTGTTGGGGAGGTCTTCTTACATGTTGAATTCCATCTGATGACACCAAATTAAACTTTGATTCGTCACTAAAACAAACTTTTTTCCATTGTGCCACAGTCCAGTTTTGATGTTCCTTGGCAAATGCTAATCGGGCCTTCAATTTTTTTTTTGATAGCAGTAGTTTCTTGGCGGGTCTTCGGGAAAACAACTTCTGATCAACTAATTTAAGTCCGGATCGTCCTTGTACTCACTGGTGGATAGCCCATTTCTTCAAGTTTTGCTTTTATCTTCGTTGACGGCAAAAATGGATCTTGTGAAGAAATTCGTTTTATGGCTTTTATCACATTGGGACCAACTTTTTTTAGGTCGTCCTGGTTTTCTTTTTATAGAGACATCTCCTCTCTCATTATATCTCTTTAAAATATAATGTACCGCTGATTTTCCAAGGCGTAATTGCTTAGCGATTTCCGATTGCTTCAAACCATCCTTAAAAGCATTCACTACTCGCACCTTAAGATCTGCAGACAAGTTAATTCCACGTGGCCTGATATATCACAAGAGCTCAAATGTTTTTAAATCGCAATTGTTCATAAAAGCAGAACAAATGAAACTAACGATTTTTAAAAATATTTGGTTCATCTACTTTTGTCCAAGACAAAAAAGCAATATTTGCCAATTCTTATCTATCTATAACTGATAAGACTAACAGAAAAATTTATATTTGTTTGTAGTATTTTGGTGAGAATGTATTAACCTTTTAACATACAAAGGTACATAAAATAATTTTGATATTTAACACCTCAAATCTGATTTCCTTCGCAATTATTGTTATTGGTTCCATTTACTTTTGACCAATACTGTATCTCTTATAGTTTTCTAGATAAAAAATAAAATATGTGTAAAATTGACAAAAACATAATTTTGAATAAGCATTGGTAAAATCATGAATTAAACATTTTTAAAGTTGAAATTTAGGTTATAACGAAAGTCGGAAACACAAGTTAGAAAACTAGAATTAATCCATTTGATATTATCTGACTTTATACTTTTATACAATAATTCAAAGTTGAATTATTGCTGATCAAACTTCTTAAATATTATATTGAAAAACCTACGTTGACCCTAGTTGACCCTAGAAAATAATAGGATAATAATTTTGAGGATAACCTACAAAAAAAATGAGATCCCATCAAAAACATAGAATGTAAAAAATGCCCAAGTCTCGCAACACAATTCTTCCCCTATACGTTGTGAGATCTCATGTAAAACCAAGTCAGTTTATTTTATTTAGTTTCTCTTTAAGCAGATATTCAAATTGTTAGTATCAATATTAGTTATCTTTATTTCTGTAATAATTATAATGACTTGGCAATTGCACAGCACCATAATTATAAGAGAATAATCTACCATTTCGATCACTAAGTAAATCTAAACAATTGCCAAGTCATTATAATTATTACAGAAATAAAAATGACTAATATTGATACTAACAATTTGTAATAAAATTGTTGAATATGTGCTTGAAAAGAAACTAAATAAAATAAACTGGACTTGGTTTTACATGGGATCTCACAACTTTTTATAGTGGAAGAATTGTGTTGCGAGGCATTTTTTTTATATTCTATGTTTTTGATGGGATTATATATACCTTCCTCATCTCTCTATCATAAATAAACTCCGAAATCGAGACTCAGCACAACCGTCGAAATATTCGAAAATGACCAAATATATATCAATTAAACTGTATGGCAGGTCTCGCAGCCCTTTAATAAATAAGCAAAAGTCCGTGTAGGGCCGTCCAATAATGGAGCCGATTAAAGATTAAAACGCGCGAGCGGCAGAGAGAGAGAGGGCCCATCATATCTCAATATTTCAGCCCGGGGGCTGCAACGGCTCCCTCCCTTTATAGACCCGTACCTGCCCCCCGTCCCCCCGCTCTGAATTATGCATTTAATTAAATTTATTTACAGCAGTTACTAATATATTAATGAAACAGTTGCTATTAATGCGAAATTGTTTCGTTTCGCTCGCCCCCGTCCCCCCCCGGGTGCCTCCCAGGCCCCCCACGGGGAGCACAACACGCCCGTTCATGGATAATTTATGCCAAGTTATCGATTATTCGGAATGGGGGGGGGGGGGGGGGGGGAGAGATTGGAGAAGCTGGAGAAAGAAATGGGGGTGGGTGAATTATATCGTTTGGTAGGGTTTGTTGCATATTCTCTCTGCGATTATTCGGTTTGTTTGGTTTTTCTTTTTATGAAATTGGTATTTTTTTATCCCCACAGGTGAAAATGTTCTATGCACTGATGTATGAACCACATTCAATCAGATTAAAAAATTGTATTCTTCTCCGCTACAGACTACAAATTGTATTTTCTCGATAATAAAAAATACGAAATCAACCAACACTCAACAAATCAGATGTTTCACGCCTTATATATTTCCACACATTATAGAATAAGTTATATATAACAATCTCAATATTATGAAAAAACAAAAGATATGTGTATCCCGAAATATGTTTTATTATTTTAACATATCCATAAATAATATATAAATTACACCGCGCAATATATTTTATGTTATTTACATTTATTTTTATTGCGCAAAATTAATTATTTCCAAGTCTATTTTTACCCTCCTTAAATTATTTTATACATTATTTATATTGTTTTTATATATCTATCGTAAATATTTATAGTAATAATTATTGTGAAAAATAGGCTTTCATATCTTGCGGACGACGTATTTACGATTATTTTCGTTACTTATAATTTCGAGAAAAAAAAGAAATATTGTTTTTATTATTAATTTCCGCGGAGTTATAAATTACGTTATCATATTATTTATTAAACAAGAATATATATCTGTCTATGAGGCTATATTGTATATAAAAAGATTTATTATGTATTTTTATAATATTATATCTTTCAGAAATTACTTTAATAAAAGCATATTAAATATAATATCATACGATCGAAAAAAAAACGGCGTCAAAGACGGCTGGGGAATGACAATCGATGGTAATTTTGGTGAGGTCAAACCTTGTGAGATTGACCTTGCCTACTTTGACGATGTTTTTTTCTCTGATCCGTGTAATATAATTAAGTTTAATTAATAGCTTTACTAAAATAATTTAAGAGTTACACTATATACAGGGCGTAAAAAATAGTATACCAAACTTGAGTGGGTGATACTATACAAATAAAAATAAAACAAACAGTTTCTAAAATGCTTCCTGAAGAAGTTACAGCCCTTGCAATATTTTACCCTTATAGCCCTCACATGGAACATATCTTGAAATTTTTTAAAGCTTATTACGGAACTAAACCAAGAGTATCCATTTTAAAATATAAAAATGTCCAAACTTTTTATGTCATATGTTGAAATTACTGTATATATTAAGATAAAAAGTTTTCCGAGAAACTACCCTCTACCCAAATCAATGAAAAGTACCCTTTCAAAACAGTTATGGATTTTTCCAATATTGCCATTCGATTTGGCATTAAAATGTGTGTAAAAATACCAAATTTCAAGAAAAATTATTTACCAATGTTCTTAAAAATAAAAAGAAATACATTAATTTTATTTTTCTAATATTGCCATTCGATTTGGCATTCAAATGTGTGTAAAAATACCAAATTTCAAGGAAAATGATTTACCAATGTTCTTAAAAATAAAAAGAAATACATTAATTTTATCTATACTCTTTGAAGGGCAGTAACTTCCTGGGGAAGGCACTTTTTGCTTTATTTTTATCTATAAAATTACCCACTAAAGTTTGGTACACTATTTTTTAACACCCTGTATACAGGAATACAGTGATACTGTATATAGTATATAGAGTGTGTCACAAATAAATATGTATCATAAAATTTAAAAAAAATAAATACATATATAGTTATTGTTGTGTTTTTTATTTGATGTGTGTTGTGTAAAGTGTATGGTGTGTTTGTTTTGATAAAATAAGGGATCAAAATAGTAATAATGATTATTTTGTATGACACTTACCGGCTATTGATGATGTCGAGGCTCCGAGCCAAGCATGTGATGATTCTAACAGCTTAGCCTGCAAAAAAAAGAAACCCTATAAGTATAACGATATTTATAACAAAATAACAAAAAAAAAAACAGTTTAACACTGTTACTATACCAAAATTAAATGGGGATTGGTACGATTTTTGAACTGATTTTAAAATCAAATTCAAAACCTAATTTTTAATTATTAATATACAATATGTCCCCGGATTGTCTTTACTAGACGGAGAGAGAAAACTTTTTTATTATTGATTTTTTGAGAAAAATGCATTCTTCATAAAAAAATTTGCTGGGTCTAAAATCCCGTTTATACATTTCGAAATTTCCATACGGTTATAGAGAAAATGATAAAAACTTGAAAATTTAGGTGAATTTTTTCTAAGTTTTAAAAATCAAATCTATCCATTTTCTGTACTGCGCATAAGCGTAACCGTACCAAAAACGGTTCTCTGTTATGTTGGAACGAACCTATAATAAACTTCTTCGTACGACAATAAGTTACTTTAATTAAATAAAATTAAACCCAGTTATTTCTAGCAAAGAGTGAAAATATATATGTATGTAGTCGCCTATCGTCCTGAAACAGACACAGAAAGCACATTTAAAGCCGAAAATAATAATATTTAATGCTACATAGTTCTAGAAGTTGCGCGACTTCCGCAAAATGTCGCTCGTTTTCGTATAAATCTTCGCGTCTTCGGCCAGAATTACACAACAACGACAAAAAGAAGAAACCTACACGTATTTATTAGTAGGTTTGTGAAAATTATCGTCCTGACGAGCTCTGTAATGGGATATTATGACGACGCCTGTTTTAATTTAAAGTCCCAACAATGTTAGATGGGAAATACTAATCTTAGAACATTCGCTTAGTTGAGCTTCCACGACGACATTTTTTTTGGTTTGTTTTCTAGCACTTTCTCGACCACTTTTCCCACTTTCCAACGAAAGATATGAAATAGAAAGAGATTACATTAGGAATGTAGATGAGTGTAATGGATATTCTCCTTCACTAGTTGATAAATTAATTAGAAAACGTAAGTATAGGTTAATGATTTCTGAAAATTCGACTTTTCAAGTGGAGAAAGATACGTCTAAATATTTTTCAATACCGTTTGATAGAGAGTTATCCCGTGGTCTAAAAGGAATTTTTAAGAATGTCAATTATAAACTTGTGTATAGTGCTAATAATAAATTACAACAATTATTAGGTAATCCAAAAGATAAAACACCTCCACTGGAAAAGATTGTAATCAGAAATATGTTGGGCAACCTAGAAGATCAATATTAACTACATTTAAAGAACATTTAGCTCAGATAAGATATGGTAGACCGGATAAATCTTGCGTTGCCGAACATATTGTTGATAAAGAACATTGTATAGATCTTAATAATTTAAAATTAATTAAACAAGTCTCAAATTACAAGCAATTAGATGCATATGAAAGCATCAGAATTAATAAATGTAAAGATAGTATGAACAGAGTCAACGGTCCAATTCCTTCAAGTTCTTTGTTCCTACTACTCTAGTGGCGGAAATTTAACTGTTACGCTCAGTTGGCTCTGACTCGGTTTGGCTAGATTTTGCCACGCCCACTCGGTGCCCACTGAGCGAGTATATAAACGCTCAACTTGTAGATTGTACTTTAGTTTATAATCATCTGCTGATGATGCTAACATTGTTAGCGAAACGCGCGTCCAGTGTAAAAGTAAAAGTGTTTTGGTGTATTGTGGTGATTTAGTGTTTTTATTTTGCTGTGTAACACCAAAGGTTCTAACCCTCAACTGTAAACTTTCTCGATTAATTTGTAAATATTATTTGTGTACAGAGTGTTCCATTTTGGTTAAGAGCATACGGTATCTCCGTTATCAGTGGATATAGCAGAATGCGTTTTTTTGCGAAAAAAAATTATAGCCCTCTTAGTTTCTGAGCTACAGTGTCTTTTTGAAAATGTTGCAATTTGGGACACCCTCTGTATTTCTGTTATAGTGAAAGGTATCGAGAAGGTGAAAACTGTTTCGTGTAGAACTTTTTGCGTAAAATACAGTGACGTAATCTGATTTTGAACAAAAAATTTTTTTTGAAGATATGAACTAAAATTATGTTTTCTCAAATGGTATCAACACCCTGTATATTTATAAATCATATGATCTGGCTTGCTATGCATAGACACTCTATATTCGTAAAATCGTACTTTAACTTACAATTAAAGTACAATTTTTTCCAGATTCCTGACATTTTTTTTAAAGTAACTTTAGTAGTTTATGCCAAGTTACCTACTAGGAGAAAAATCAAAGCAATGCAGCGATTAGCGTCTGTACACACGAGTTAGTGTGACGTAAGTTGCGTGTTCGCGCATATCGAACATTAAAATCTCATATAAACACCTCGTTGCAATTAGCTTCATGTTAATATACACCTTTCCAACTAAAACACTGAGAAAAAATTAAAAATAACATCGACTTTGATGTGGGAATATTTTTAGTTGGCGCTTTTTAGTGACTTTATTCCGACATAAAAGTCTAAAGACAATAATTAATTATAATTATCCACTTTTGGTTAAATTTTTCTTTATATTAACCCTTTTTGAAATAGTGATTCATTTTAAGGGGCAAATATTTTTTTATGGTTGTATTAAATCTTGTAACATTCTAGATCACTGCGATACGCCACTGATTCTCAGGCACGTGCTACGTCACTCAACCTCCTGCTTGTCGCCGACCTTATCACAGACATCGATCTGTGGCTTCTTCTTTGTCAACGCGACGACCACCGACAGGACGACATATTGCCGGAACGATGTTCCTTTTATTTCTTTACTACTTCTATTCGTCTCTTTTCTTCTTCCATCGCTCGGGCATCTGAATAAAAAACAGTCTCCAACAGGAGCGCATCATTTGAAATCAGTGCTGTGGCTTCAGAATTTTTTTTATATACTGAACGAAGAATTCAATAAAGGTTGTGATAAATAAAAAAAATGTTTAAAAGGTGAAACTTTTTGGTGTTTGTTTGGTCTACACTATTTAAGGTTACACTACTACACTTTTTCCATAAAATCTAAGAGATAAACTAAAAAGAATTACGTTTTTTTTTCACTAAACACATAATATATTTATACAATAATTCTTCTTCTTGAGGTGCCTCTACTCAGCGAAGATTGGCGATAATTACAGTGAATTCTTCTCGACTACTTGCTATTTTGACGTGTAAGAAAACCAACACAGGTTTGTCGAAACAAGGACGCAATATCCACAGAAAGTAAATGTTTGGGCAGGGATATTCGGACACAATATTATAGGGCCATTATTTCTTACGCGAAATTTAAATGCAGAATATTATTTGGAACTATTCGAAAATCATATTTTACCTGCTTTACATGATGCCGCTAGGGAAAATCAGGAAGTTTGGTACCAAATGGATGGCTGCCCGCGGCACATAGTACCCTGGCTGTTCGGGAATATTTAGACAATAGTTTTAACGGAAACGTTATTGGCCTAAATCATACAGTAAATTGGCCAGCAAGGTCTCCTGATATTTCGCCAAATGATTTCTTTCTCTGGGGCCATTTAAAAAACAGGATATACAAGGATAAACAATACCCAAATCTAGACGAGTTAAAAAATGCTATTTCTACCGAATGCAATAGAATTTCAGTTTGCCAACTAGCGAATGTAAGATGAGAATTTTATGATTGCTTGGGTTATTGTCTAGCAGTCGATGGAGGAATATTTGAACATCTTAAATCCTAAAGTTCTAACAATTTAATAGTACCTAAATTAATAAGTTATTGAATATTGTAATAATACTATAATTAACCTTGTAATTGATTACTTTATTTTACTTTAATTCATATTAATTTATATTTATAAATACATCTTTAAGATTTCCGATGTAGGAATGAGTTTTCAATAATAAAGCACTAAATAGGTAAATTTCTAAAATGACAACTTCATTTGACAGTTATCTTTTACCTTGACTGGTCCTCATAAGTAAATACAGAGCCATAAGAAAGGAGAAATATTTAAAAAGAAATCGGCGATAACTCGTAAACGGGCTAATAAAAAATATCTAAAGTTATTCTTTTGAATGTGGGTTTTAGTGCTCTTCAATAAATCTAAATAGAATTATTCTCTAAAATAATTAGGGAAGCCAATAATTGACCCCATTAAAATTTACATGGGATTTCCTTTTTCCCGCTCGACGATGCAACACCCGGTATACATATTATATGGTAAAAATGATATTTACAAAAAATGCATATACTGTGTTTCTCCTTGGAACAGCCGAGCTATGCTCGATATATGTCAGATATTTTACTTAAATAAAATCACCCGAAACACCAACAACACCTTTTTAAAGACGCCTTTCTCCCAGTAATGGCCTCAAAATCGAATTTAATACTCTTAATGGAGTGCAATCATCGACCAGGACACCTCTCACACCCCTGGGGGTCTTCCAAATTCACCCCCGAGGGGTGCAAAGAGGAGAGAGGCTTTTTATTGGCAAATAAACGCAAAATTGCGAATTAATGTTCGAGTGGAAAAACGATACAGAGGGCGCAGCGATACGAATGCGGCGGTAATGACTCGAAACATTAGTACACAACGACTTCGCGTATCTTTATTGATATAAATACATGTCGAAGTACCTTATAGGGTAGGTTTCGCTCTTTTACTATATCTGGTTACCTTGCGAATTTCGCGTATTTCTTTCTTTATGAAGTTTATTTCCTTAAGATATAAAATGGTACTCAAATTTATTTTTGTTTAGTAGAAAATAGCGAATTATGAAAATAAAGTGTTTCAGTGAACCAATGACTTCAAAAAATATTACAATATTATTTAGTTAAAAAAAAAAAACAAAAACAAAACTAAAAATATAATGAAAACCATAAAATTTAACATTAGTTACCCTGAAGAGGGATCTTCATTATAACTTTTTATATTATCTTTATCGCATCAACTGTCATCTGTGGCCACGTTTTTCGTACGGGAGAGACAATTCGTGATTTTCGTAAGCTAATGACCGCG